TTCTATGTTTATACTAAAGCATGGAATGACATTCCTCAAAACATAAAGTCCATTTCAAAACTACAGCCCTTTAAGAAGAATCTTGTCTGCCATTTGCTGGACATTTTTGTTGTGCTCCTATTTTGCAAATGCTGCCTTCCTGAAATTTGGTATGCTTGTTTGTCTTTGTGTCTATGGTGTATAATGATGTGATTGTGATGCTGTAATTCTGAGTGTTGTTTGTGCTGCAGAACAGGAACCTGCTGTAAAACAGCAATTATGCTGAGTTAGGGTTGATTTTTAATAATCTTTTCCTGTTAAATAAATAAATCAAATCAAATCAATTTCCCTCTACATCCAGCTGCACTGATGTCTATCTCACTGTTTTCATGTTTTCTATCCTATATTTAGATTTTAATTTGTCAGGTTAATTGTTTTTTGTTGTCTTTTTAGTGAGCAGTCCAAATTGTATCCCAGCTTCAAAGTACCGGTACGTTTTGTTCCTACATAAAACAAGAACACATCAGGGTTGCTTCATAACAAAATTAGGTTAATGGTGCCAAGTAGGATCAGGTGGAGAAAGCATTTTGGAGCCAAAGAACCTAATGTACCAAACACACTGAGTGTGTGTGTATAAAAACTGAGTGCTGACTCTAAACTGATGAGTTTGAGATGTTTTTTGGTCGAGGGGAATGGCTTTAACTTTAATGTGAAAGTAAACTATATCTTAAGTGTCAAGATTGGTAAAAACATGAGATCTGCCTGGTCTGGTCTGTTCCTCAGGATATAACTGATTCATGGTTCATCTGCTCTCAATGTAAAATAAGATGCACCTCTGTTTCATGACTCAAGTCAAAGGTCAGAAGAGGCAACTACTAGATAGATTTTGAGATCAGAGTCTTGCAAAACCAAACATTTATAGATGAACTAAAGTGAAATTAAATATGTTGGCATTTGTGTTTCTGTATACGGTTCACATATTGTGATACAATTTTAGGTATGATCATCAAAATGATGAAAAATATTGACCTTAAAGGTGTCTGAGATTTTAAGATCGAATTACTTCCATATTGGCTGTCACATTTAAATGTTCTCAAAACCTTACAAACATTAAATAAATAGTCATATAAAAGAGCCGTTGCTTTATCTGCTTTGCTTCTTAAATTGCTGTTAAAAGACCAAAGTGTTTGCAATTATTGTCTTGAAATATTCACTAAACTAAGTTTTTCTTTTTCGTTCCGTACTGCAGAGCTGGAAATGATGCAGCATTTTGTCTAAAAGAACCCCCGACTTTATCTCCACTATGAGATTATCTTGTATGAAAATGGAATCGGGCGTTCATTGTGAACATTAGGACATTAGTTGGAGCCAATGATGCCCTCGGTAATGTCAGACAGCACTTAGCTTTTGAGGATGTTTTAGTGAGTCTGAGCTGTTTGGAACAACCTTGACTTCCACCTGTTCATCAGCTCTGCTGTTTAGCAGAATTTATTGTGTGAAAGTTGCAGAAAGAATTGATTTCTGTAGATATTTCCCATTTGTGTAGGATTTTATAATCCTAATCTTGGATCATTGACTTACAAAATGCCCAACCCATCATCAGCAGTTTTGGACCTCAATGACTCCACAGCTCCTATAACTATTTAAAGTAGTTTGCCATTTTCCCCACACACACTGGCATTACTGATGTTTGTTGAGTCTTTTTAGCTCTTTCTTCAGAGTAGGCACTTTCTTCTCTCAATAGAGACGCAGGAGTCATGTAGGAGGATGGGATTAAATGTACATTGATTGGCCAAACACGTTGGCACAATTAAAAGTGGTTCTTTAAAGTTGAACATGTGCAGCTCTGAATAGACTGATCAGTTGTATGCATCTTGTATAATTCCTTCTTCTGAATATTTGTAGCTTGTTCAGTTTGTTCAGAACCACCTCAGCAATGGTTAAAGTGGGTAAAACTGGGTATTTCATGCTTATGATTTTGTTGTCGGCAGACTTCTGCCTGTAGATTGGCTGAGCTGAGGTAGAACTCGCAAACCCTTCCTGGAGAGAAGTGACGACGACGACGAGCTCCTTGAGCTGGATAGAGCGTTCTAAAATGAGCCGAAATGCCAGGAAGTTTGGGGAAAAAGTGGCTGCCGTCAGTTACACAAGAACCTATAAACCGTGCCGTGACAAAATAAAAAATAGTCACTGTCGTACAATAACACTACAGTTTTTTTTCTCTTTTCCGTTTTACACCACAATGACTGAAGCCACGTGCTGACGATMYGCCCACAGAGTGATGGATACACTGACACGGAAACACACATACACCTGAGCAGAATCGAACACACATGAACCAAATAGAGTGAGATGGAGATTTTAGAGAGATTTGTTCGCAGAAATTATCAGATGAACATAAAGAGGAGAAATGATAAATTTGAATATCATTCAAAAGATTTTAAATTATAATTTTAGAAAATTTTGTTTTGCAAAACAGTGTATCCCACTGATATTGCAAAAATAGGACAGTCTTATAAATTAAATTTCAGTTATGATGTGAAATCCTGATAATTATTCTGAACAAACCCTTTGAAGAAGCCTTGAAACACTGAATAAACAGACTAAACTGAAGTTTTACCTAATGGGCATTTGCTCAGAGCAGGGTGCTTGCGACCTTAGCTACAAAAGGACAGCATTGACTGACCCCCTTTTGTTCCTTTCTTTTTCTCATTCCTGCCTCTTAAAGGGCTGCAGTCTAATTTTAGCAACCGATCCATTAGAATAGACGCTGTATTGTTAGATTTCTGGTCACATTTGATGAGCTGATTGTCACGGTCATCAAAAGTGACAAATTATTTTAGTTCCATTAAAGACAGAAATCGTGCATGACTTGTGAAAAAAATAATAATTAAGGTTGTGATTTGTTTGACCAATTATCTTTGTCTTTGTTTGCAACAGACTTACAAAGGTATTTGGTGTGTGTTCATTGTCTTTTTATTTGAGCTGTGCCAAAACAAAAGCCCTRTAATATGCAGAATTTCATCATTATTGTTGTATTGAGAGAAAAGTTTGTTTAATACTGAGCTTTGCATTAGAAAGTCTTGCCTCACTGACAACACAAGGTCATGTGCTGCTAATTGAACAGAAATTTTAGGCCTCCTTTGGTCAATTTTTAATCTGCTACGTGATGTCTGTGACACAGCTGCTGGAGGTTGTGAAATTTTCCCTGGCATGCATTTCTATACCAGAGGCTAACTTTCCTGAAACGTCCTTATTTCTCCACAGTTAGATCATTAACTTTAGCCCCTGTAGTTTGGTTCATCTCTCAGTAGATATGTAACTTTTTGTTTTGTTTTTCCACTTATGTATGTTGTGCCACTGTATATAACGAGAGATGTTTTGTCTAACTCTGCTCTGTGTTCATGTCAAACAGGGTGAAGAAGGACCTCCCAGTCTGGAGTACATCAAGGCAAAAGACTTGTTCCCCCAGAAGGAACTGGTGAAGGAAGATGAAAGTCTTCAGGTGAGTCGAGTTTCAGACACTTTAAAAACTCTTTCATGGTATGAGGTCCTAAAAAGTCGACCACGTTGTAGATCAGGGGTGGGCGATCCTGATCCTCGAGGACCGCTATCCTGYATATTTTAYTCGTAATCTCTCGAGCACCAGGATTGCCCACCCCTGGTCTAGATCTAGACCCAAATGGAGTCTAATCTGGACACAGATTGGTCATTTCAGTGGAACTATGTTTCCCTGTTCACATTGTATCATATTTATGGTAATTCAGTTTAAATAGTGCAACTTTTCTAGCCTTTAYGGTAATTTCCACAGATGCCCCATGGTTTAGGGCTGCACAATATATTGCAAATTTACCGTCTTCGCAATTACAGCCTGTGCATATCGCAAAAAAACTTTAAATTGCAATAAATGGTTGGTTTTAATGTTTGCATTTATGTTTTGTCAGCATCAGTCTGACAAAATGAACCAGAGATACCACATCAAATCATAGTCACTTTGTCAAGTTGTAAAGGAAATGATGTATTAGATTTCAAAGACGTCAACACTTTGTACATAAGTCATCACAACATGAAGCACTGTTATCGCACATCGCAGGTTTTCTTTATCGTGCAGCCTTTCCATGGTCCCCCACTTCTTCTGTCTGCACTACCTGAAAACAAATACAAACCTCAGAAAACAGTACCTGAGTGAGGAAAACAGGTAAAGCTGCTACTAAACGTAAAGTTTAGAAGAAAACTGGAGGTTTTTGTCCAGACTGGACATTTGTATGTTCATTTAGAGTTTAAAACTTGTTTGTCTTTTCTGTTCAGAGACAGAGGGGATTTCCAAACTCTGCAAAGTCAAGTGTTACAACAAAATTAGCACAGAAATATATTGAATTTTACCGACGAAAAACAGAGCTGTGAGCAAAGTTTGACAGATCCATTCACTGGCTTTCCCGCTGCACGCCTGAATAACCTGATTTTACTTTAAAAGAACTTTCCTGGATAGCAAACATAAAAGGTTTCTAACTTTTACTTTAAATAAAATGGACATGGGCCTGTCCAAATACAGTTTTCTTTTAGAAAAACAGCAAAAGGTTTTGTTTCCTCAGATTTCTTCCTGTTTCACATGTAAATAACAATAAATCTAAATTATTTAAATTGTTTCATAAGGACATTTAATTTTCCAAGCCTTTGCTTTCTTTAGGCAGACCTTGTAGAATTTAACTGAAAACCACATCTCAGTGGTTTCCAAACTTTTCAGCTTCTGGCGCACAAAATACAAGTCACAGAAACTGGGGTCACAAGTTTCTGTGACTTGTATTTTGTGGTTTACATAAGAAAACTTTACTAATAACCTAAACACGGGCATAATTAYGATATAAACAGACTTTACAATTATGATTCTATGTCYGGAAATCWTCTGGGGACTCTCACTTGATGTTTCATGACCCACAGAGGAGTCCCAACCCCAGCTTTGGGAACCACTGCTTTAGAGGACAAACCTCTGGTCTCACACTCAGCACCACGTCTGTGTGATAAACAAATGTCTAATGAAAAGACAGAGGGTTTTTCTTTCAGATAATAACCTTTATGTTTCACACTGGCTTTAAGTTTAACATCAGTTTTACTCTAAAACTCCCTCCTGTGACTTCAGTGGGTGGAAATATGTGCAAAGAAACTGCTGCAGGAGTCAAGACTTTAAAGGTTCAAACCTCCACAACGAAGTGAGGATAATTACTAAAATATTTGATGTCAAAATTGTTTTTATGATGTTTGACACAAACATGTTATTTAGGAAACTTGGTGACTGACAAAAGGTTTTTATTTGAAGGTGGACGCTTCCCTCGACTGATAAGACATGACACTTCCTCTAAAGAAGAAAAACAAAGTTTATTTAGAGAAGTAATTCTGAGTTTGGCTGTTTTAGAAAAGGTTTGTATTTATGAAAAGCTTTAAAAACGTTTATGAAGCAGCAATTCAGTTCTGTTTATTTATATTTATTTTATTTACAATAAATTTATCTAACAGAACATTCATGTACATAGTAAAACAGCAGTTATTAAAATGTTTTACCTAAGTTAATCTGAAATACAACATGGCAGCTTTCGTAAAACAATTCCTGCTGGTTTAAAATCCAACAAAAAGAAAAGGTGAGGATAAATGTCTAGTGTCTATTGTGTGAACAATAAATAAATAAATAAGTGGAGAAAGTTTTATATTATGTTAATGACTTCAGACACCAAAAATAATCAAGCTACCGTAAATATGTTTTTTTGTAAGAAAAATCACCAAGTTTATTTGTTTTTGTTTCTTGTATTGAATATATTTTCCCACACAAAGTTTGTTATTCAAAGAAATCAGTCTTAGGACATTTAACACTTAAAACTACTTTAAAATGAATGCTGCTCTATTGAAATAAAAAGGGTTTCTAACTAATAAAAACAAAAACAGAGCATCTGAGCAGCATTTTAGGTCATTTTATTGGCAAAGACTTGTTAGTCTTTTACACAGTGATGGGTAACTTTCACTTTGACATTTGTAGTGTTGAGTTTCTGATGGTTAATGGAGTTCAACACTGAGTGTAGAGAACTGGACAAAAGAAAGATGGAGGGAGGCGGTCTTCACCCAGCCGGGGGTCATTCTSTGCTCTTCCTATTTGTTGGTTTCCATCAATGCATGTTTCTGCTTGAGCTGCAGTGAACTGAATGAAGTTTCGGCCTCTTCAAAGTGTATTTATTCATAAACGGCCGTGCACAGATTCAAACCAGTATCCGTCTGAGGCAAATACTTTATAATCGGTTTCAGTGCAACAATTTCTATAATCTTCCACACTCTGCCTCCATTTCCTCTGCATTCACACGTGCAGTCACACCTTCTGTCTGTGCTTTTGCGCTTTTGTTATGAAGGTATTTCTTTTCACGCATCTGCTCTCTAAAAACACCTTTCTCTCTCAGCAAATCGCAAGCTTCTCCTGCCCTATCATGTTTAAACCATGCATCCGTCCCTTTGTACTTGCAGACTGCGGTGTACGCTCAGAGTTGTGTGCATACTCTGACATGCACGCAGCTTCAAGCGGAAGTCACGACTCACTAGTGTGAGCAATATTCACGGGTCTCCTCCCCCTCCACCCCCCACCCCCCTTCTGTCTGTTTTTCATCTTTGCGCTGCTGAAGGCTTCATGGAGGAAACGTGACACAGTATTTTCTGCTGCACTTGCCGGCTGCTCATGACTCATGCACCTACTTCCAGAGCGCGACTTGTTTAATGCAGCTCCCAGTCTGTACAGCATGTTAACTATGGCAGCCCCACCAGGACGTGTTGGGTTTCTCCCACAGCAGAAAAGCAGTCACTCAGAAGCTGCATGATCACATTTTAGTCATTTCTGCTGCCGTTGAAACAAACTGTCTCCCTTCATTCAACCGAGCATTAAAAAAAACAAAGATGTTTGTTGATTTTGTTCATTTTTTATTAATCTTTTTAACTATGCATAACATTATTAAGACTTTTCTCATCAGCAACTTCAGAGTTTTCAGCTCTGCTTCTGCCTTTATGTTCTCTTGTCTCTTTAATTCAGTTCAATTTTTTTATTAGAGCCTGTCAAATGCTGATAATGAATTGTAAAATTAAAAATGTTCAGACTGGAGGCCTGGTACCTAAATTTGGCTCAGATGTCTGACTGCAGAGTACAATGTGCTCCAGTTCCCAGATTAAGCTGTCCCTTTTTTTTCTCTGATTGGATTTATGTGCATTTACAGTAGAGCTGAGCAGCAGCAGCAGGCGCATCGACAAGCMCCAAAACATAGAACAGACAGTTCATATAAATATAAGCTCCCTAAAGTCTAGAAATATTAGATTAATTTTGACCTTGACCAAAAGCGTGTGCTACGAGGCAAGATGAGGTGACTTCAGGTGAAGTTCAGGATTTTTAGTGTCATGATTCACTTTTTACTTTTTGCAGCAGCATTTAATTATTAATTTTTTTACAAAATTACATTGTTTGGCATAAAAAATAATTCGAATTTTTTCCTGTGAGTCATTTTTGGATTAGGGACTAATATTAATTATCTAAACTACAAAAGACTTCCTGTTTAAATGATAAAAAATACTTTCACCAAACTGCGTGTTTGTTTATATTTCCATAGATATTATCTCTTTAACACTTTCAGTGCAACACTGTAGATTGTTTAACAGAAAGTGGACTTGTTTAAAACAAATTCAATGACTGAACTGTTTTTTTTATCTTTGTTCCTCATTAAGTGCAAAGTTTATAAAGCATCATAAAAACAGAATAAACTATGTCTCAATAAAATATGGCACCTGAAGCAGGTTAGCAGTGGTGGACCCACAGAACCAGAGTTAGAAATATAATCAGTTCTAATAGTTTATTTGTTGTTAGCAACTTCCAGACTTAGTGTTTTTTTTTTTACCTAAAAAATTCAAAGTATAGTTTTGGACACATTTCATATTACTGTAATACAAGTCATCAAACAAAGTTATTCTACAAAAATATGTCTAGTTCTGGTGACTTTGATAACAAAGGTTGAAGTAAATGATGATGATGATTTATTTTGGACATGAGACAAACAGAAACAAACAATCAAATAATTAAATGAATAAACCAAAACAAGAAAAAATCCAATTAGTTCAACAAAAACAAAAAGAAAAAGCTCACTCACAATTAAATATTCAACATTCTATTTTTATATCTTGCCTCTACCTTTTAAGGTTCATTATTTCAGCGTGAGATACTTAAAATCGTTATTGTTGGACAAATATAGAAAAGATAAACATTGGTCAGCTTAGTTCAATTTAGATTTTATTGGTGGGGGGGTTATTCCCCCTTTTTATAAGTTCAGTTTTTTATTATTCTAACCTGTGTATAAATATCAGTAAATGCCAAGAGTTTATTTTTTATTTCAGAATATAACAAACTATAGTTTTCAAACAGCGATTCTAAAACTTAATGTAATTCATGKTCCTTATTTCAAGCATCAAGTTGTTTTTTTCTGTTTAATCATTTTATTATAAGGAGTAAAACTGTCTCTTTTGATTGTAAAGRTTGCAGACCCCCTGATCTAAATCAACACTAATCAATAACATGACTTACTGATGTTTGACCAGCAGGAAGCTGTGCTTAATTAAACTATCAATATTTCTATTTAAGGTTTTGTGTATTCGTTTCTTTTCCACGTTAGAAGAAATCTGTATAATCTTGTATTTTTACAAACCACATCCAGCATATTGGCTCTGTGCTGTTTAACGGTGGTTGCCGATGTTTTAAATCTGCCTGATTGCTCTGATAATGTCCCATCTGCTCCACTGCATGTTGTGCTTTTCACCATGCACTGGTGGGTCCTGCTTCGTGTGAGTCAGCAATACAGCTAATGTTGTCTCTAAGCAACGCCGTTGTCCTCACTACCACAGACCAAACAAGATCTGAGTCGCCATTCATCATCCTCAGWGCTTTAAAGCAGCCGGAGCCAAAGAAAATGTGCAGAAATAACAAACCTCACTTTTTACACATCAACTACAGTCTTCTGCTTAGTGTCAGAAAGTGACACAGAGTAATAATGTAAAATCACTGCATATCAAGGATTCAAATGAATTCTCTTGAAAAAGGGCATAGTTACTGAGCGGTGGAGTATTTTTTTACCACAAAGCCGAGTGTGAAGTTGAGCTCTGAGAAAAAAAGAGTTAAAAGCTTTGGTTTATTTATAAATTAAAAGATTTTTTGTGAGTTGGCAAATGCACTTGTGTGACACACGCACACACTCCCTTTGCTTTTAAAGAGAATTCCCCGCCTCAGAATCTGTTTTAAAAAGTGTGATCGACCTCTCTCAGAAACCAATTACCTTAATGTAAGGGTCTCGTTGCGACCAAGGCTGGCTCTTGGCTCTGACTGTAATGAAATGGGGACATATAAGAATATTAATGGAAAGTCAGTCCTGCTTTTTGTTTGCCTGCTCTGTCAGGCTCAGCAACCAGCTCACAAACATTTGTCTGTAAAACCATGTGTTCTTGAATTGGACTGACTGCTAAAGTTGTAGATTTACAGTATATGCAGCCATTACATGTGCAAGTTGCTTTAAAGTAGACATGCTTTTATATCCTTCTTTTTCACATTTAAATCATTCACTTAGGGTCTATATAAAGTGGAACTGCAATGCTTGGGTCTGAATTCCTTCTTTACTAGCTGTGTTTCATTTGACTATGAAAATGTGCTAATTAGACGTTTGAAAATAAATTTGCTCAATGGAAACATGTCAATTTCGATAAAACGTCCTTTTTTCGACAAAATGTTTCAGCGCTAGGATGAGGTGGTTTTTCGGCCATATCAAAATTGGTGTGTTTCGCTAAACTGCAATGGAAACACGTTTTTCGCATCACAGGAGTCACGTGATCAACAGCTGGCTGTTTCTACTGGCAAAAAGACAAAGAAGACAACAGGAAGTAGAAGTAGTAGTAAAATCACCGAAGTTGTAAAATAAAGTAGTAAACTCACAGACTACAATTTCCCAAAAACTCAGCGTACGTAGCCGCTCCTAAGTATAAGGGGCTTGTCGCTCGAAAGCCTCGATAAGACGCCGACATCTCCTCTGTTGATGAGCGCTAGTGTCATGAGAGCAAATGCATGTGTTTACATCCATTGCCACCATGTTTGTAATGACATTGCGAGAACAAMCGTATTACGTGTGTACGTAAACGTGTGACTTTAATAGCATTTCTTACTTAATGGAAACACYGCAGTTGTGAAACTCTGTTTTTTGACATTAACAGAATATTGACAAAGTTTTGTGCACATTTGCAATGGAAACGCAGCTACTGTAACTCCACAAGCCCCTCTTTCACCCCTTTTCTGAGATGTGTCTCAGATCAACTTATTTCTTTCAATGCAAATGAGGCCCTTCACTTACATATGGTGTCTCAGGGCACTGTACATAAAAAGAACAATGTAAAGAAGAAACCAGCAGGTTGTGTTGAATCACTTCATCACAGTCTCCCATCCTGAGCAAACGGTGAAGAGGGAAAACTCCCTGCTAATCGGGAAGAAACCTCCAGCAGAACCAGGCTCAGGATAGGCGGCCATCTGCCTCGACCGGCTGGTTGGAGGACAAGAAAGAGGCACAGACAAATACAGAAGAACTGGTCCGGGACTAGTCCAGGCGCACCTTCCTCTGTGTGACTTCTAAGCTATAAAAGGTACTTTTTATACAAAACAAAGCAGCAAAGATAATCTGAAGCAATGACAACAGTGTGTTTTACACTAGACTACATGAAACATTTGAATTCTTAAGCAATAGTACACAGTAGTAACAAAAGCTGTGAAAAATTATGACAATATTTTAACACAAAGTACATGTCAGATACTTTTAAAAAAATATAAATGCTGCCACGTTATGAATGAACATGTTTTATAGACAAGGCGATAACAACCGCGGTGCCTCAACATACTTGACGAGTTRGCTAACGCTAGCACCAAGAATGTMACTGTTCATGTGTTCCCCACAACATGAACAAAACAATGCCAAGCTGTTTATGTATTAATGCTAATAAAACACGCAGAACGGTTAACTTCTCGAAGAGTTTAAAACGAGCACACAGCACTAACATATCAGAAGGCATGATGCTAATGTTATCAAAACAATGACCAGGACATCCTATTCATAAAATTCATGCCTCGCAGCACCAGGAGAAACTGAATTCAAAATTTCTGCACTCCTACAGACCCCAAGTACAAAACAAAAYCTATTTAAGGGCTAAAAAATTGGATCTTGCATGAAATGTTCAAAAATTCATCCAGTAGTKAATRAGATATTTTGCCAACATGCAKGCGCACAAAGGTAAAAACAATCGCTCCGCAGCAGCAGGTGATAAAAACAGGATTAATGAACTGAAAGGGTGTAAATAAAAGTCAAATAACTGGTGCTGAAAAAAATGCTTTTTTTAAATAGACTTAAACACACTTTGTGTCCCTACAGGTGCCATTCCCAGTTCTTCAGGGGGAAGGAGTGGAATATCTTGGCCGTGCCGATGAAGCTGTCATCGCCATTTCTAACTACAGACTCCACATCAAGTTCAAGGACTCTGTCATCAATGTGAGTCTCAGACTGTATAAACACRCAGAGAAACCTCAAACCTTTTGCTTCAGTACAAATGACACAAGTGTCTGAGAAATTTCTACTTCTGCCATGCCACACCACCGCAGGGGCCAATCACAGGAGAGAGGAGGGCTCAGTGTTTAGTTTGGACTCGCTCAGGCTTCTCAACCCCCCACCCCACCCCGTCCCAATTATTTTTTTTATAAACGTATAACTCTGCTAACAAGGCAAACAGATCCAGGAGCATTTTAGACAAGGTACTCATAAGGTGGTTTTAGTCCTGCGTTTGCCATGAAGGTGTTTGTACCAGGACTGAACCACAGGAGTGGTGGGTTCTCTGATCYACGGACAAGAAGGGGTTTGATGTGACATCCAAGTACCAAAGCCCAGCCCCCACTGGCACTGAGGCCCACCAGCCCCCTCCTACTGACGTCAGGCCTTGCTCAAACACAAACAGGCATATTGTTTATACCCACTGGCAGTGAAATTCCTCCTCCTTCCCAAAATCTTGTCATGTTCTGCAGCGGGAGTCAGTATTTGGAAAWCATGGCAGGATTTTAAATCAGGAAGGGTCTGATTACCTGCTAGTGTTAGCATAGTAAAGGAGACGGGGAGTAACTCCATTGAGTTTAAAGGTCACCAGCTAACAAGCGGGGGGTGGGTGGGGGGTCCTGCCTTGACCCCTAGTTGTAGAGATGAACTCTGCACAAAGCCATCCCCCCCATACTTCTAAGCTGTTTTCTCACCCTTTGCCCTCGTCTGTTTGTCTTTCTCTCCATAGTTTCCATTTGCTTTGTGCACACGTGTGATTCATCTCGCACTCATTGGTGTTTTCTTTCTTTTAACTCTTCATTTCCCTTTTCTCTCCCAAGTTATTTGATTTTAATAGTTTTTTTTTCATTTCCTCCTGTCTTGTCCTCCCTCCCCACCCTCCCTCCCTTTCTCTTTGTGTTGACTCCATGATGTCACTGTGTTTAAGACCTACCCAGGTGTGGACAAAGACTTTTCTGTGAGTACCCTGTGATAAAACATCTCCCTCTGCCACAGTCTAGACGGCCCGGTCCAGTCCCTTAGCTCCCGTTCAGCCTGCCTGGTTATTAAGCACTAAGACAAACTATAACTACGTTCAGCTGGGCGKGGATGGTAACCTTCTGATTTTTTTGTAAAGGGATTGTTGGACAGGGTTTACCCTGAGAAATGATGAATMAAAGTATGACTGTGTTTTTTTGTTTTTTCAAAGATTGCAAATATTTTCTTATCACTCTATGAATACAGYGTTTATGAAGACATTTGTCACAGCTGGGGGCATGTGGGTGATTGAGTGAATCTCAGTAGCACCTTTATTTTTTCCAACCATATTGCTTCCAAGCTTCATCAATGGAGTAAACATCAGCTGTTTGGTGTTGAAAGAAGTTAAGATATCAAAGAAGCGTAGCTCTCCGAAGTGAGTTCAAAACTTCACGTCATATGGACTGAGTCTGGACTGAGCCAGAAGGGGTTAACGTGTGCAGCTGTGCGTCTGGCCTGACAGCAGACTGACTGCAGATCCTCTCTGTCTCCCCCTACAGGTGCCACTCCGGCTGATCGAAAGTGTGGAAGGCAGAGATATGTTCCAGCTGCACATCATCTGCAAAGACTCCAAAATTGTCAGGTAGGAAGATGAGCTCAGATAATTCGGTATTTATTTTTATACCCAATCCAACAGCTCAGCTTTGTCAAGAGTAATGAAACATATGAAAATGTATCTTCAGCTCTGATGTTTTAATTGTAGAAATAGTTTCTGTATTCATTAGGGCTTGCCATATCAAATGAAAAAGAAAGCAGAGGAAGGCACTGCAAAGCTATAAACATAATAGCAATTTGGACAAAAGATGCTTAGCACAATGTGATAGTGAAACTAAAAGAGGTGCATTGTTTCTGGAGGTTTCTAATACATCTAATCCTTATGCTGGATTCTTCACAGGTGCCATTTTGCAACATTCAAACAGTGCCAGGAATGGGTTAAGCGTCTGAACCGGGCCATAGCCCACCCGTCCAGACTGGAGGACCTGTTCGCCCTGGCTTATCATGCCTGGTGTTTGGGAGGAAGTGCAGATGATGAAGACCAGCATGCTCATCTCTGTCGCCCAGGTTCAGATAGCCACATCCACACAGTGACGCTTTAGAAAATGCTGCCCGTCGGGATCGTTTCTGCTTGTATTTATACCTTCACATATGTTTCGTGCACAGGGGATCATGTGCATCACAGAATGGAAATGGAGGTCAAGAGGATGGGCTTTGACACGCAGAACGTCTGGAGAGTGTCCGACATCAACTGCAACTACAAGTAATTCAAACAAATAGAACTGGCATGTCACTGAACTGCATCTGTACCTGGTTCGGTAGGCGTGGTGCCTGCTGACAGAGGACATGTCCATCGAATCTTGTTTTTTACTCTGGGTTGAGTTTAAAAGATGTGACTYAAAGTTAAGTAAATATAGACTAAAAGTTAAACAAAAATAGACACAACTAAATCTTTCTATTTTATTCCTATTTATAGATTCCTTTTAATACAGCAAATAATGCCTTAAAGGTGATGAGAAGTTTTTTTCACTCACTTGTTAAAAATATCTTTAAAATGAGTGTGTATGARTTTACACGGCCTCCTCTACAGTGGGGGGCACCTCAACATAAAAAATGTCGGTTAGTTTGGTTAGAGGACTCACAAGAACACATCCTGCTGAGGGAGACAGACACACCGGACAGCTGACTAATTATACAAACTGCATCCTGTTGAGACCAGTGACTCAGCAAAGAATTTCACTTTCCCACTCGCGCTCTCACAGTGTTTGTGTCTCCCTCAGCAGGTGAGTAGGAACTGAAGATGGTATCATGGGACAGAGAGAGTAGGGATCACAGATGGAGTTGCACAGCGGTGCTGAGATTCATGTTTTGTATGTGTAAAAAAATAACGTAGCCTTAACAACCATCTCACCTGTTGTTCCTCCTGTAGGTTGTGCTCCAGCTACCCACAGAAGCTCCTGGTTCCAATATGGATCACWGACAAGGAGCTGGAGAGTGTGGCTTCCTTCAGGTCCTGGAAGAGGATCCCTGTGGTGGTCTACAGGTGGGTTTCCCGACACGCGGTGGGCGCACATTAATGATGGTTACCTGACTCTATAACCTTGTGTTCCAGACATCAGAAGAACGGCGCAGTGATCGCTCGTTGCAGCCAGCCTGAGATCAGCTGGTGGGGCTGGAGGAACACRGATGACGAGTACCTGGTGACGTCCATCGCTAAGGCCTGTCACATGGGCACCGGAGCCAAGGGGACGGCAGCCAGCCGACAGCGAGGGGAAGCTCCTGACTCCTGTGACAGTGATTTTGGTAAGTCTGATGCAGATTTTCTATTTTAAAATCGAAACACTTTCCCTTATTTTTAAAATATGTCAGCTCCTGAAACAAGGCTGAAATTGTTCAATTAACTTTGTCACAAAAAGTCCCTGTGCAGTCTCTGATTTTGTCAAGTAGGGGTCTCCACTGTACAGAGGGGGAGTTTCTTCCCGTGTGAGTGCAGTTTGTTCTAACCATGATTGACAGAAGCTGTTGAGTGGGCGGAGATTGGCAAAACCGTGATTGGTCAGGTTGACTTGTCTTGGCAGGCAAGTTAAAAAAAATGAAGTAATGATACAGTTATTGTGGAGATGTAAATATAATTTAGTGACTTCAAATTCGGTGCGACTGTCTTGAGGTATRATTAATATTCATATTAAAAATGATATTTTTCCAGGCAGGCTTGGGCTTTTTTTACCAGTCATCCCTCCACATGTATGGCGTTCAAACTCCGTGCAACTAGCACCTTCCTGTCTCGAGTTATGACTCAATTTAATATTTATATAATATTAGCTGCTTTCTGGGTGTTTCCATTGACTTACATGACCCCCAACTGCTCAGCTTTCATCCAACTAAATCATTATGATTTCTTCACACCAGCACGTCTTTACCWAACTCCTCCCACAACGTTAACCAGACCAATCATGTCTGAGAAACTCCTCCCAAACAACAAGAACGTCCCACTTAGTGACTACAGAGACCCCCTTCTCGATTTAGTGCTCACATGGGATGTATTCAGTGCTGTCACTAGTTTATTCAAGAGTAAATGATCAGACCTCACATTGCATTCATGGTTCTTTATTCACATGCTGCAGTTTAAAAAGCTGCTTTTCATCAGCGTGACTCGAATAGAAATCAGTTTATATAATATAAAATTATCAACACTCTAAGTAGGACATCTGTCAGCACAGCTTCTAAATACAAACAGCTCATTGCATCTTTTTGAACCAAGATTTTCTTGTTTTTCAAAGATGACACCAATATGTCAAAGTGTGAGGAGCTGAAAGGGGTTTAACACATTTACAGATGCAGGTACAGGGTGTTCACTAAGCGGCAGCACGTCTCTCGCCGTCTTTGTGTAGAGATGTGCTTCACTTCTACAATAATCACTCCTCTCTTACTGAGATCAATTCTGAAAGCAGCTCTTWAGTGTTGATCATCAGGTGGGAATGAGGATTTGAAGCAGCCTGTATGTTCACATCTGTTTCCCTGCTTTACCTTTTGAGTCGCCTCCTCCTCTTCAACGCATTGATCGACTCAAGTCTACAATTTAATTCTTTGTTTTTATTTTGTCCTCAGATTCCTCACTGACAGGCGTCTCTGGCTGTGAGGACAACAGTGTCCCACAGAAGCTGCTGATTCTGGACGCTCGCTCGTACACCGCAGCAGTGGCCAACAGAGCCAAGGGTGGAGGCTGTGAATGTGAGGGTGAGTGTGATGTTAACCTTTTATTTCTGATCATTAATGAACTGTGGTTTTAATCTTAAAAGATAAGGGGACACAGTTACTTCTTTTCTTTTTGAAAGGATGGTTCTGGTATTTTGGAGTAGTATTCTGAGGAAAATTTACAAATCTATTTATTACCAATTGTACATTGCTCTTTCTGCACAGGAAGTGCTACAGTTACACYACTTGCGCTTGGAAATACAGCTCAACGCTGCAAAGATGTTTCACAGTTTGCATTTTTTTTTCATAGACCCTACAGTAACTGCTAGTAGTTTGCTGTAATCCCTGTAATTTGGTGGAAACTGGCAATACAGTACARAAAGAAAGGTCTTTTTTTCCCTCATGATTTTTTTGAGTTTTCAAGTTAAATTGTAGATGACACCAATTGACTAATTTTGTAACAAAAGTAAAATCTGTTCCATTAAAAAAATTTTCAGTACAGTGCATGATGCTCCGCTCAGAGTGCAGTAACAGTTTACTGTACAATTGTGTGTAGCTGTTAACTGTGTCGCTCATGTGTTTTTGTTTGGTTCTTATCTCATTACGATGCCACTCAAACACACTGTAGGCCTTCGTTGGACCACGTACAGTTTCTGGGTACTCTAAGAACAAACCCCTGCCAAAATCAGGGCTTCACACTAACTAGTATTCTCTAAACAACCTTCTGTAGAAAAAACTGCATTGTTCAAAAATGTTATGTCCAAATAAAATAGGAACCCACTGGATTTCTTCTCAAAACACAGCAGCTCTGCTCTAAGAAACTCTGCAAAACACTCCCAACTTCTTAAATATTGAATTGAAGCTTATAATGTACAACTCTTCCTGGTTATAAAAGAAAGAACACATGATAACCCACACACCAGCTCTCATTATGTTTAAATTTAAAGGCTTAAATAATCAGAAAGTATAAATTACAAAACAGCATCTAACAGCAAGTTATTTTTACAATTTCTGTAAATAATCATTGAAGGAGCTCTCTACATAAACTTGATCTTATCTTATACACTTCATGGAAAGAGCTGAACTATCCCTTTAATGTGAATTACAACTGTTGTTTAAAGCAGTAAATCTGACAGATTGAAATGTGAAAAGGTAGAATTGTTGTCTGCATCGTTCAGAGTAAAAATAGTTTGACCTATATTTGGATTGTTTGTGTTTAGAGTACTATCCGAACTGTGAGGTCATGTTTATGGGAATGGCCAACATCCATGCCATCCGCAACAGCTTCCAGGCTCTGAGGGCCGTCTGCAGTCAAATCCCAGATCCTGGAAAGTAAGTCGATCTGTTTGACCTTTTCCTCAGAACAGTTCTGTCCTCGTTTGCACACCCCCCCCCCCCCACACACACACTCCCTCCCTTGTTTTGATGCAGTGAAATAACACCGTGCTGCCACAGTGCTGTCCTGTTCCTCTTGAAAAAAACACCACCACAAACAGTGTGTTCTGCATCTGATACTTGATCTTTAAAGTACAGGGGTGAACCCAGCTACTGAGACGTCACATGTTGTTTTAAGGCTTGTTGTTCTGATGAAGGTGTGTGCAAACACGGAGTCCTCCTCAGAAATAGGTCAGAAACTCAGTTTATTTATATCAGCTAAAGCCACACTACGTGACCGCAGGATGACAGACTGATCCTTACAGTAGAAAGGCCCAAGAAGTCTTTACATGCATATGACTCCTGCTGTAACCTCTGAAGACATTTGAGAGAAATCTCCCGAACAAATTGTTCACTTAGAAAATAAAGAGATGATGAGTGGGCAGAGAAACTGTCATTCCTCTGAGGAAAGATATCTCCACAGTATATTTAAAAATCACCAGTTTTAAATGTGATCTCAGGGCACCGTACAATAAAAAATCCCAAACCTCAGTAGATGAGAACTTTTAAATGCCTAAAACAAAATAAAGCTGTAGGTGTTATAAATGCAACATGATGGCTGCACAATATTAGGAAATAAGGATAATTCACTCAAACCCCGATTTGATTATCAATTTTAAAGTGCCTGTGGCATCAGATTTTTATAATAAACATGAATGCATTTTTGGAAAGATAACATTAATAACATATTGTAAAACAAATTTCACGTTGCTGAGTTGAACGGTTGTTGAGATATTTGCATGTGAAGAAACAGGAAGTGATGTCAAAAGGGAATGTCAGCATGTAAACAGAGCGTTGTTACAAAAGCTAACAACACAGACTATAGAGAAGAATCTGATGTTTCTTTATATTTTTAGTTGATATCAAAGAGAGACAAAGAAGAGTTAAAGTTTAAATAATTTTATTTTAATAAAGAGAGACCAGTGAGTTTATTTTACTAATGAGTTCCCCTTTGATGTCACTTCCTGTTTCATTTTGCCTGAGCCAAATTTAAAAGAGAATAGGCCAGTTAGTTTATCCATTTTGTCATACAAAATGGGTAAAATCATATGTACAATACCAATTTTCTTAAGTATAAAGATGCTTTCTTTGACTTTTTGTATTTGAAGGATAGACATGTCACAAGCACTTTAAGTTCACTATTATTA